TCGCAGAGGGGCGGAAGTGGAGTGTAGTTGCTCTGGGAGTGGAGAACTGTACACAGATGAAAACTCATCCACTGCAGCGTCAGGTTATACTGAAGAGTAACTTTTAATTTAAAAACTAAGTTTAACTAAAAGCCAGACGATACTTGTAATGTTGGGACTGAATTTCCCTGGAAAGACTCTTCAAGACATCCATTGTTATCGTGTTGTTCCATCAGAATGAAGGCAGTAAAAACTGCTGTTACCTAGCAGTCAGTCTGAAGTTGAAGGCAAAGTCCCATTAGTCATCACCACACTGGTGAAATTATATCTCTGCATGTGACCCGTCCCCGTGGAGAGCGGTGAGCTGCAGCTGTGGCTGTGCTCGGGAGCCATTTGATGGTTTAACCCCCCAATCCAACCCCTTAAAGCTGAGTGTGAAGCAGGGAGGCATTGGTCCCATTTTAAAGCCTTTGGTATGACCTAGGGTTGGGCATTAAATAGAAAATGTATCGTTATCGAAATTTATGATTCTTATAGTGATCATTTTTTCCATGTCAGTAAATTTGATTATTAAAAAAATGAAGAGATGTGTGTAGGTTGGCCAAGTCATGTCCCTTTAAGAAGCTGTACCACCTTGAGTCACGTAAAAATGTGATTCAAAGTAATGCACGTGACAGCCCCACCTAGTGGACAACTTTTGTTTCTGCGCATACCTGTAGTAGTTACCATCCATTTGTCGTTATCGAGGTGAAATCCTCAATATATCGTGATATTGATTTTAGGCCCACCCAGGATTTGAACCCCAGTCTCCCAGTCTTAGGGCGGACACTCAACCACTAGGCGACAAAGAATTGCACCACACAAAAGAAATCGTCAAGGTTAGCATGTCAATCCTCTATTTAAAACAATTGTAGCGATCCTCTATTGATTCAAGGCATATTTCAGAATATCAATATTTTCTCCCATCCCTATTCTCTTGTATTTATTTGTGAAGCGTCTTTGTCTCGTCTTTCTGGTAATATCACATTGTGTGGCCCGTGGCTTTGCTCTTCATTCACCTGTCCACGAGCCATTTGCACCTCTTCCTTTGCTGGCAGGAGCTTCCTGGCTGCAGCCCAAGACAAGTGAGTCAGGAGTGAATAGAAAAAGTGTGGCTTTTGCTTAAAGTGAGGGGAAAAAGAAATGAAAGTTAGGTTGTTTTGTCACTGTTGGGTATTTTTACTCTATAGTGCTTAAAAAAGCATAGGTGATTATGACCTCTATGGCATGCATTACTAAAATTGCTTAATCCCACCATTAAAGTTGGAGTTTATGACACAGCACGTCACCTTAACTAATTTTATTTTTAGAGTACTTACCAACACCAGAAGTGTTTAGGATTGCATGACTGCAGTGGATTATTGATGTTTAATTTTCAAAAAAGATGAAAGCAAGCTGTATTTTGCCGTATGAAGCTTGTTATTTCACTAAATGGTGAAAACAAATATATATAGTGTATTTAGTAGGAAACTGGCTTGAGGAATATGTCCTCTCACAAAACCAGCAGGGCTGAGCTGCAGGTTGTAGCTGGGCCTACTCCTATTTTCCACCATAATGAGTGGTCCCAGTTCTAAATCCCATTTGTGTTTCACATTGGATCGTGCTGCTGGTGACCTTCATCTCTCTGCCTCTCACTGGTGAGCGGGTTTATTTACCAGCCGCTGGTTGGTGAGCTTGGAAAACTAATTTATACTGATTTGATCTTGCTGTCGTCAAGCTGCAGAGTGTGAGGAAATAAAAAGTACTCCTGGACTGTCTTTATAGGTCAGCTAAACATGACTGAGTACTTGTGGCTGCTTAGAATAAGTTTATTGTACAAAAGGCAAGGCAACTTTATTTATAGAGCTCATTTCAAACACGGAGGCAATTCCGTGTGCATTACAAGGGATTATAGTAACTTCTCAATGATGGATTTAGATGAAAATCTGACAAACTGATGTGTTGCACATGTTGAGTTTGTAAAATGTGTTTATAATGTAGAACATTATCAGCTAACATTTAATAAAATCTGATTTTAGTCACTTGCAGCTAGTCTGGTTGCACTTAAACTACACATGGGTTGCATGTTTGGAAGAAAATGTGGCTTGTTGCAGGGAATTCATTAGATTCAAAAGACTCTAAATAGCATTAGATTTTCTTTCAATACCAGTAATCGGACGATACATTTTTAAGTACCTAAAGCTTTAGGTTCTACTATAAGGGGGAAACTTTAACTTCAAAAAGTAGTTTTTTTTTTATATATATTTTGTTACACTAAGCAACGCAGTAAACATATTTTAAAGCAAAAATGGTCACAAAGTAAAAAAAGTGTATGAAAAATCCAAAGTAGTTCTTTCTTTTTTGCTATTAAACAAAAGAATACAGGATGAGGATAAAGTGCACATGTTTCATCTATTCTTTAGTGTAAGAAAACATCTACTCCTGGCGCCAACCAGCTGCTGCATGTCTGTCTACTCTAAAAATATGAAATGAATTGTTTAAATTCCTAAAAATCCAAATAGATAAACGTACAGTATACATGATTTTAAAAGTAAAATGCTGTCTTTATTGTAAACATGTTAGTGTGAGCAAGGCCCTGGTCACGTGATGTGCGGCTTTGGGACTTCTTTGAGGAGAAATCACAGAAACCTAGCACTGGAAAATAGCTGTATAAATATTTTGGTACTAGTACTTAACAAATCAGCACTAAAGAGGTACAGAGTTTTGGTACTCAGTCCTACGCATAAATCAACAATGTCAAACAGCTATTTTCCACAATTTTACTTGCATCAAGTTGAAAGTTTAAAGGCCTTGTACCAGAGCACCAGATCTGACTTCTAGTAAAATTATTGGTGTAGCGGTTTATTAAGTTTGAACTGCTCTGACGTAGAAGCTTTTTAGCAAGGCAGCATGTACCCGTTGTATACGAGATCTTAAAACGGAGGTCGTTCAGGAACCTTCTACAAAAGGGTAGGGCATTTTATATGGAAACACATCCCAATAGCTAAAATTCCTCTTCCAGTGTGTTGGCTTGCTTGAAATTATACGTTTGGCCGTCAAATATAAAATTATGACTTCCATTTTCAGCTGTAGATCTCATAGGACACGCTGGTGGCTGCTCTAAGGTGGTTTCCTTGGGGTCCCGTTTTTCTCCTGTGAACTGTTGCTGTAACGAAAAAGCGCCATCAGGAGTAGGATGCTTATTAAGCTTACTGTTAAAAACAAGATAGCTGTTATGTTCACGGTCTGGGCTGCGTGTAACACAAATGAAATCACTCCAAATGAGTGGTTTTTAATTTGGGTTGTAGTTGAGATGATGTTTTGACACAGAGGCTAATAGTAACTGTAACCCCACAGTCGGCCGAAGCATGTGTGAAACGGAACAGCTACCGACAACTGCTCGTCAAAATGGGACCAGTCTGACAGCTCCATCAGAGTAGGATCTATTTTATTTTAGATTTCTTCATCACAGACGGACCAGGCTGCCATGCTGGACTGTGATTAGCTGTGTGTGATATGGTGAGCTGTTGGTACTATTGAAAGTCTGTCCACAATAAGGAAAGCAGAGGTTAGCCTAACTTTGGACATGGTTATCAGTACGGATGTAAGAAAAGATTGATACACTGAAATTTAGATATATTTTCTATTGAATTAATATTTAAAGCAGTGTATGAGATTTTTGAGAATTTACACGCAAACATTTACATTTTTTTATGCAGTAAAATTCAAACTCCGACTGCTAGGTGGCAGCAGTTTCCTTCGTTCTGACTCAACGAGATTTCACGACAACACTGGATGTGTGTGTCTGGTCTGAGTTTTCCTGTTAAATTCGGTCTTAAAATGTGACGATTTTCTTACAATTTTAGTTTTGCAACACATGGTATCCTCTCCGTTGTCGTCAGATTCTTCAATACACACCCCCTATTGAGGAGTAGAAAACTTGAAGGCTTGGTAAAAGTTTGAATTTCTAGAGTTGGAGGCTAAAATATAGCACGTCACGAGTAGCTACTCATTTCTGTAAAGCCAAATCAGACATGTGCCATTTATTTAAACACAGGACTACTGCACCATGTTTGCTGGTTATTTGAACATTAAATCCTAATTGGGATGTTGTCCCTCATTACGGTTTGTAGTAGGGACCGTAGTTGGCAATAATCTGGCGATACGATGTATATATCACAATACAGAGGAGATAATATGATGTATCGCAATATTATATTCAAGACGATATTTGCAAGGCTGAATTTAATTGAAAAACTCAGGCCAGACACTTCCAACAAACCGCCAGTGTTATTGTCCTATTTTGTTCCTTCACTATGAAGGAGGTAAAAGCTGCTGCCATCTAGCAGCCGGAGTTTCAATACAGTAAATATTCAAAAGAAATACAGTAAATGTTAGCATGTAGATTCATGATTTAAAAAAAAAATAAGTTAATTCCTGCTCTTAATTATCGAAGGGAATATCATGATATTTCTGTATCAGTGTTTCCTTACATCACTAGTTTGTAGAGAAAAGTTGTTTTCTGTAGAATTTAAAAAGATTTGTGAGTTTTAGTTTGGTTTTGTGATTATATCTGAGCTCTGGTTCTTGTATAATTGTTTTCTGTTAGAAAGAAAGAAATTAAACGTTTAACTTTATTTGCATCTTTTCTCTGCGTGTGTTTCAGAAACAAATGTCCTTTTGAAATTCAGCGTGCGTGTTACAAACCTGCCATTAATTGCCAATCCTGCTGCTTTTTTCTTCTGTTGTTGTGGCTGGAGCTCATTTCTGGCTCAGAGTATTACTTTTCTTGGAGATGCTTCTCTTATTGTAGATGAATTTTGACCAAGTGAAACATTTCCTTCTGCTTCTTTCCGGTTTCTACCAAACAGCAAGGACATGCCAGAAAAACAAAAACAGAAATCCTTCTCTGCGTTTCCCGACAATGCCATGTGATCATCTCTGACTGTTGCTTTCATTCTTGTTGATCTAACACAAAGTACTTTTTGTGTCCACATTTCCAGACGGCATCTCCAATCTAACATGGCAGTCAGACTGTGCGATGTGGCTTCACTGCTCAGAAGTGGTTCGTGGGCGCCTGAGCCTTGGACTGGGGTCTGTGGCACCTTTTTGTTTTCTCCATTTGGCCAGAAGGCCTACCTGTGCTCTCCGTCATGATTAGCTCCATCATGTTTAGCTAATCAAATTGGGGGAATAAAGATTAAATGGAAATCTATCAAGTGGATGAAGTCCTTTGTCCTGTTCACACTTCACTCAAATGCTCATTTTAACTATCTAAAATGTGATTTCTCTAGCACTAATCTGAAATGTGTCTGCACCAACTGTCTTCCTACACACCGTGAATATGTTAGTCAAAGATGACTCTTCATACACTGCTGCTTTAACTTATTTGTCATTGAGGGCTTGTTCGTTAGTTCAGTGACGGCTGCAGGCTTGGTGCTGCTCTCTATCAGTTATTTTGTTGATTTAAAAGCTGCATTGTCAGACACGTGACTTTGGCAGATGAGCCTGAGAAAAAATACAACTTTTCTGTTGTAAAAATAGCTGAAAAACGTATTTACCAGTTTTATAGAAAATGTCTTCCCACAAATAGAGATGGCAATCATGATTTGTTTATATAAAATGCTTACCCCTTTTTTATTTTTCTGCCATCTTCTGCCAGAAGTATTTTTTATTTCTTGTCGATATACAATGTGATTGTAACCTTGTTTTTTCTCTTCTCTTTAGCAGGTAATTGCTACCATGGAAACACAGCTGTCCAACGGGCCCACGTGCAACAATACGAGCAACGGTCCTTCAACAATCTCAAACAACTGCTCCTCGCCCGTAGAGGGGAGCATAGAGGACAGTAAAACTAACTTGATAGTCAACTATCTGCCCCAGAACATGACCCAGGAGGAGCTGAAGAGTTTGTTTGGGAGCATTGGCGAAATCGAGTCCTGTAAACTTGTTCGAGATAAAATAACGGGTAAGTACACAGTTTGGTCTGCAGTGGCTGTTTAATTACCTCAAGTTCTGCCCGTAGTTTTTATATTAAAAAAAAACTTGGAAGCTGGTGTTTGATTTGATTGGACAATATTTACATGTTCCTGCAACAATATCTAAATTTAAAGCTTCAATGCTGAACATTTTCAGTTTGTATAATGGACCACTTTCACCACCGACTGCTGAAAACGATCCAGTCTTGCAACTAATTATAGAAGTTGGCACGACAGGATAAATAATTCCCATCGTCTACCAATTATTTAGTTTATCAGGCAGCAACATATGGACCCATATTAGCTGCTATAAACACTGACTTGGTAAGGAAGATTTTGTGGTGCCAGCTTCCCTAAAATCTTCTGTAGAGACGCTTTTTTATATTTCTGGCCGTGTATAGAGCTCGTAAATGAGCTGAGGTTGCTTTTAATGGCAGGAAGTTGTACTGAGGTTGTGCAACCTGAGCAGGCTGATTAGAGCTAAAGCATCTGTAGTGTGACCGCTCGCTGTTCAAGGGTACCCTGACATTCCCCTGACTCATACACCCAGTAGTCGAGCAGGTAAACCTCTAAAAGTGTTGGTTGGTGTGACTGTAGCTCGTCTGTTTACTCAAACAGACTTGCCCTAAATACATGAAAGAATTCCTGTAACTGTGTCAATATTGCTAAGGCTTTAGGGAAAGTCAGTTTATTTTGTCCTTTTATTTCTCAAAATGTAGTTTTGGAACTTGTCGACCTTTCAGTCACAAAGTATTGAAATTTAGTGTAGGTCTATTGTCAAAAATGATAAAGATGAGGGCCAAAACCTGATTGGTTGACCTTGCATTTTTGTACCCCCCCCCCCCCCCCCCCCTTTCGAAGCACTGCAGCGGCATTGTTTGTAGTGAACCTCATTGCTGTTAAAAACCCAGAATAAAAAAAAATCTCTGATTTGTTACAAGGCAACCACAGTTCTCTGCATTTAAAGTAAATTTCATATTTTTATTGAAGTTCTGTGAGTCCATCTGATTTTTCTGCATTGCGGAATCATGAAGCCTTGTTTATGTGGACACACGCTGTAAACAGGAGTCCAACGTTAGACAGTGGGGGTGTAGTGGGTCTGGTTTTGCATGAAGGCTTGATGAAAATTGTCAAGTGTGTGCTTTGGCTTGGAATAAATGCTGCTGCTTAGTCATTCGTATAGAAGATGTTTGATTGTGTGAAATGGGTTGAGCTGGGTCATTACTCAAAATCAGTGTTGTGAACATCTTGATTAGCTGTAAAGCAGCTGCATATTTAGTCAGAAATAACCCTGAAAGTGACTCGAGAGGGGTAACCAAATGAAGTAAGCTGTTTTAAATTGGCGTGCCCTTGAGAATAAAAGCAGCACATAAACTCCCGTGGTTAAATGGGGGCAGAGAAAAAAGATTCTGCTAAACTAATTTATTATTTTCATATCGGCATTCTGAAATCAGCTTTAGTGACTCTAAATACCAGAAAAACCTGTTTAACAGCAGCATTCTGCTTTGTTGTAGGGGAACTTAAGTCCAGTTTTTTTTAAATAAGGTTTTACGTATTTTTTATCTAATGGAAACCTTTCATTTTCATACAGTACTGTTAAAGCAGTGCAACATTTATCATCATTAACATCTGTATCGGCCGATGCTGGTCCATTTTACAAGTACCGACTTCAGTTTGATGAGTAACTTTAAGCTATATGGTCATTGTTGGGTCATGTGACTGTGATGTTAAACGTCTTACAAGCATTTTAGTGCCTGCATTTATAAATATGTGTAGGTAATAAAGAATTAAAATATCTGTTACTATCAATTATCGGCCATGACTGCAACATTTATATTGGATATTGATATTGGCTTAAATTTTCACATCGGTGCATCTCCATTTAGATCTCATCTCAGTAAAAAAGATTTTAGTAAATTCTCCATTAATCCCTTAATGAGTGTAAATCTTAATGTACCGTTGAATTTAAACTTCTGCTATAATTCTCGTGGTTCTGGTTTAGATAACAAAGCTGTCAGGATCTCATAGCTCCTCGTTATTCAGTTTGATTATCAGTCAGAAGTGCTGTATTATAACTATTAGTGTGCACTCAATTCATCTTTCTACTTCCTCGCGTGTGCTTTTAAAACAAAAATTTAAACGACTCAGATTTATTTTGCCTGCAGTAAATTTTTATAAACCAGATTAATGCAGATTAAAGAAAATACTTCATTAAGAAGCTCTACTTTCACACGAACATGCTGGTGAACTTTATTTTGAATCATGTGAACAACTTCCCGTCCACAACTTCTTGCTTTAGCAGTAATGGTATATGATACATTATAGACTAATAGATACAAAAGATAGAGAAAAAATTAATAGACGCAGTTCATCAGTTACTTAATTAGAACTAATGTTTAATGAAATAAAAATGGATGCTTAATTGCTCTTAAGCTTGAAAGCGGTGCAGATAATGAGTACATTTACAGCAACTTCTAAACATCCCTACCTTCATCAAGTTTAATTCCATTAATGAGATTGATGGTTATAATCCTGCAGAACTTTGCAGGCTGTAATATTTTTTTTATTTTCAGACTTGGTTGATCATAAATTTATGGTCACTTTCAAACCAACATTTTAATATATTTAGCAGATAAAGTAAAAAATTCCTTTTAAACTCAGACTTGAATTGGGGTGGAGAAAAATTACATCCTTGATATGATTCAAAGCCTCCGAGTTATTTCTTTGGACTGGTTCTCTGATTCTTAAACCGCTTTTTCCTCCAGGCTGTACTCCTTTTGTCTCTTCCTTGGCCCTGTGGCGATGGGTTTAAGCCAGCCTACATCGGTATAGGTTGCTACATCAGATGTTTAATAATCACCAGAGAGATATGTGCTTCCTCTTTGCTTTAAACGTGCATGCTTTGGCTGCTGCAGAAAAAGCATAGTTTCTGTCGTTTTTCCTCCCACTATGGGCAGCAGCGGTGGTTTACTGGGAGCTGGGTGTTGCTGTTTGATTCTCAACCTGGCTTTTTTTTTTTTTTTTTTTCATTTAATGGCAGCTAAATATGAACAAAATATTGGTTTTGCCCTTTTATAAACACATCTTGGTTCTAAATTACAGTGAATGTATGGTTCCATAAAAAGACATCCATACAGTACAGGCATGTCATGTTCGTATACAGTCAGTACAGTGCAGTAGGCGTTTAGCCCTCCAGGCTGTGGGAAGTGTGTCATCATTTTCAACTCAATTTAAAGGCTTGACTGATGACTGCTTCAGTTCCTGCTATCTGTGGTGAAATTAAGTTCATGGACTTTACTTGAGCTCAGAAATGAGTCAAGGAAGGGGAGCCTAAGAAGACCGAGTACTAGAATAAATCTATACATACAGGATGCCTAAAAGGAATGTTTTTAGTCATGTCTAAGCAGGTTTAGGGTAAAAATTTACACTTTTAGGATTTAACGGTTTTCAAATATGTAAAGCCTGCTTATTTTACCGCTTATGAATGTTGTACATTCTTAAAGCATTAGTCAGCAACACTGTTTCAGCTCGAGTTCGGTGGGTTTGAACCAAACTTACTTTGGATCGTCTTCAGCCCCAGATCCTGACTGCGGTTGATTACAGCGGTACGTTAAAAAGATTACATTCATCAGGGTAATTTGAGTCTGCTTATCAGTGACATTTAGTTTTGCAGACTGAAATAACATGCAGGTATGTATTTGTGTTGGGAGATACTGTACATGCATCCATTCATTTTCTGAACCTGCTTATCCACGCTGGGTAATGGGGGCTGGTGCTTGTCTCCAGCAGTCAGCAGCCAAACAGGCAGGGTACACTCTGGAAGGGTTGCTAGTCCATCGCAGGGCAGTGTTGGGAGATTTATAAAACAATTAGTGATATTTTTCTGTAAAAATAAAATAAATAAATAAATAAATAGCATGACAATGGTTGATAGGTTCAGGTGAAGTTTTGTGGGTCTGACACACACTGTATGCAGTGATCCACCAATCCAAGAGGGGTCCATGTGAGATTTTGTTATCCATGTTTCATTGGCTATTTGATTACTATAAAACTATGCTGCAATTGGTTCGAGCCACTCATGTCAAAATGGAGCCAATAGTTAATGGTTTGGCCTCAGCAGAGACGGTAACCCTTCACCTGTTGAATCAGTGAATTGTAGATCAGTTTTGAAGCGGAAACAAGGACGCTTATGGAGGCTATGATGAGAAAGTGACTCATTTGAAGGATTTTTTGGTTTCCAGATATATTTTATGTTGGATTGTGAAGGAAAGATTTTGTGTGGACTGTTTTCTTTATATTGGTCCCTTGTTAAGACCATTTTTGTTCAAGGTGGCTCTATTCAATCGCTGATATGAGGCTTTAAACAGTGAGTTGAACATTATTTTGAACTTCTAGTGGTTTGACAAAAGTGTTTACTGTGTCTACAGTTGTGGCTGAATCTATGAAGGCAAAAATATGTCATTGGATTCTACTACGCTTAGCCTGGTGGGGGGCAATGCAAGGCCTGGTGGCCTACAACACTTATACAGCACCGGAAGAAACCCTTAAATTTACTTAACTTTAAATACCATTTACTTAAGTATTTTGTTTGCTAACACACACATAGGGATGTAGCTCAGCAGACAAAAGCACACCAACATTAATGGCTGATTTTAATATATTTTAAACTCCAGCTAAAGTTTACATTATCAGCGAAGCAAAATCAGGCACTGTGCTAGTTAAGTGTAAATGAAAGAGACAAAGCAGCTGTGTGTGTGTGTGTGTGTGTGTGTGTGTGTGTGTGTGTGTGTGTGTGTGTGTGTGCGTGTGCGTGTGCGTGTGCGTGTGTGTGTGTGTGCGTGTGTGCGTGTTAGCTTTTCTGCAGTTTTATCTAAAGTTGAATTTGAGTACAAAAATGATTCATTTGTATCCGATATTTTAGTGTCTTCCATAATGCTGGTCGTTAATATCCTGGGATTGTAACGTCTCAAACCAGTTGTGACGTGGCCATAATTATTAGGTTGTTGGTGACTGTGTCAGTAGATCTTAACTCATCACTGCCAGCCATTTCCTGATTGCTAAAGGCCTTCGCTGCCAGCGTTTCTCACTGTTTTTACAGTTTTTTTAAGAGTCACAAAACGTTGCGTGCTGGGATGATGTCGACCCCAAAACAACCAAAACAAAGAGGAGACTCACCTCTTTCATCAGGAAGAATCCGCGTGTGGCGAGCGTTATCCGTTCATTCATAATCTGTTGTCGAATTGTGATCGGCAGATGCTTTTCCGGTTCGCGCCTCACCTATTTTTTTACAGGAACGGCCCAAAACGTTCTCCTAACACATGGATTTTCTGCTTCCTGATCATGTGACGTGTGACGTATACGGATGATCGGCTTCAGAGCTAAGATGTTTGTTCTCTCGGCGCGGGGGCTCGTTCCGATGGCCACACAGTAAAAAAATGCAAATGACGACTTAAGTCGTCAATGGCAGTGAATGAGTTAAAGGCTAAAAGTGTTTGGTCTGAGGTGTGGGCTGCTCATGTTTAGCAAAGATCTGTAAGAAAGAGTCTCAGCTTTTTGTTGTTGTTGAGAAGTGAAAGAAAAACAGTACCACTAAGGTGCTGCCATGTTGTAATTTCGGACATGTGTAGCTGTACCAGACTGCAGCGCCAGGAATGTCGGCTCCATTTAAAAAAAATTAAATTAAAAATACATTTTTTAATAAAACTGCTACAGACTAGACTGGCACTCTAAAGTTACAAGTGAAATATTCTGGCCACAGGGGACTGGGTGGCCTTTCATTAACCCTGTAATAGGTCATTTTTAGCACAAACTGGCTCAAGAAAGTGATTTTAAAATATTAAAGTTCCACAGTGTCTCTTTAAGAAATTTGATTTGGTGGTTAAACCACCATATAGTTCCAGAGCGCAGCCACTGTTGCAGCTCACCGCTCCCCACGGGGATGGATAAAAAGCAGAGATGCAATTTTAAGTGTGGGATGATGACTAATGGGACTTTAACTTTAATGACTTGTTTGTGTGTTTTATCACGGCTGCCTCATGTAACTTATTTGTTTGAAGCATTTTCTGAAATAAATGCAACACATTCGCAAAAAGCAACATGCGTTCAACATTGGTTTTTTGAAGATGGCGACTTCACGTTTCTAGTTTATAAATGTGCTTCTGTAGCTGACAGACGGAGCTAAATCACGTTGTTGTACAACTATTATTCTCGTGTCATGTTGTGTTCTCATATATTTATATTTTAGAGACTTACTTGTCCGTGAAAAGTTCATCAACTCTGCATCAGTCGAGGTATTCCTTAAACTTGAAGCAGGTAAGCGGTAGTACAACGCTAGTGGTTAGTTCTGGTTGGCGCTCAGTTTCCTATTGCACAGAGCTCTGCGGGGCAGGGGGCGTGCTTGGCAAGAGAAAAAAAATTACGCATTGCTTACATTGTTTCATATATAAGACGATCGCTTTTACAGATTTCTGAAAAATCATACATAATTTCTGAAAGGGGAAAACTTAATTGTCTTTATTTTTAGACAGCACATAAAACTTTGAGAGAACACTCAGAAGTTAACTGGATGTTTTGACATTCAAATAGTAAAAATCTTACATTATGCAGGAGTGAACAAGGAAATGTGATAAAACAGGAAGGAATGGCATGCGCCACTCCTCCACTGTCACAGACATATTGGTATAATGATCCACGCACTCCCCCACCCCCAACACCACTGTCACTGTTCGCTGGGCCTAGCAAGTTTTCTGGGGGCAAGCCTGCATATCGCTGAGAACAGAAAAACAATGCAATGAATGGTCATTTCAGATTTTGCTACACATAAAGCTTTTTGTCAATCCAACGGAAGCATGAGCCCTTCGCCCATGTGACCGATTGGGCGGGTTTTTTATGGGTTAGATGTCCACCCCCTAGGCAGACGGCACTTAATTTGGATGGTTAGCGAACACCTGAGCTAGCTTCATTCTGCTCTTGTCTGCTGATTCTGTTTTTCCCAGAGTCCACTGATTGCCTTTTCTGGTTCATTTTCTTTTTCCCTTTCCTCACATCTTTTGATCACAATTTTTGCTTTTCCCATTTATAAAAAAAATTTAAGTACTTTTGTTTTTGATTTTTGTTGTTGTTTTTGAGTTAAGTATTTATTTGTTGCAAGTCATATCGTCATTACAACATTAATCAATATTATCAAGCACTGAAGGGTTTCCTAATATCGTGCAGCCCTCCATTTTATGCTTTTTCCACGAAGTCATACACATAGTTTAACACAATAGTTAAAATATAAATATGATTCAGCTAAATAAATTAACAAAATATAAAATCCCAAAAAGCAGGCTAAAAAAAGTCCATAGTAATCCCACGTGATCTACTTTTTAAAAGTGCACTGGTTGTTGCAACCATAGGCTGCACAAAATCGGTCATAGTTGCTCACTCTGAGTTGACTCCAGTTTGGAGAGTGAGGGACCCACCCAATATGGTGGTGACACTGATATGCTGTCCAGCATCCAATGGGGCATCTACTTATTAATGTTTGAGGCAGTCCACCATACTCTGTTGAAAAAGACAAAGCAGCAAATGAATCCTTTTTCAAACCCTCACCCATGTCAAAGAAAAGCTCAAGTCTAAGTCGTCCAAAGTTGGTGCCAAAGCCGTTTCAAATGAGCGTTGTTCCTGAGCCGACGCTAAGGCTGAACGATTTTGGAAAATCTAATTGTGATTTTTTTTTCTTCAATATTACAATTGTGATTTAATTCACGGTTATTTTCTCAAGGGGTTTTTCTCCTGTTTTCCAACTAACGGAAGCAAAAAATAATCTATGTAACTTGTACTGAATACACTGTAAACAAGTTTATGTATACATATTTATTTACATATCATCAACAAGTTTATTTGTCTACATATACATGAACACTCAGAAGTAAATTAAAAAAAATTGTCTGAAGGTGCAATGCTTTGCAGCCAGGAGCACATCCCTTAAAGGGGCACAGGTATTAGCATCAACTGTGAAAATGTATTAGCAGGAGAGGTGTGTGTCCCATTTATTGAAGTCTTTTGTGTTTAGAGTTTTTGACGTCTTGTCCATGCAGAGCTTGGGTAGTTCAGTTACGTTCATAGCTGCTAGCCAAACGCAGTGGAGTTGGTCTCTTACAGTTTTCTAGCTTTCCTAAAATATCTGTCTGTGCTTATTTGATTAATGGCAGTTTTTACTTTTTATTAGACTCGAAAAGTAATCATTAGGCACGTTCCTAATTTGTAATTGTAAGAATGTAATTTGCAATATTAGCATTAGCATCCCTATGGGTTTTTCAATGTGTATTAGCATTGTGCTAACCACTAGCTGCCAGTCAAATCGCTGCCTTTGCGATTAAAAAATCTCCTTTTGTCACATCGCAATTTCATTTCATTGCATGTGCAATTAATCGTTCAGCCTTAGCCGACGCCATTTTGGGAATTTTCCTTTGCCACAGCTCTGCCAGTGCCAAGCCCGCCCAATGTCTCTTTACAAACATGAAGCGCTGTGATTGTCCCGACCTAAAGTTGTTAGGGCCAATGATAGACCTGCTGAGGCTACTCCAGGGGGGGGGGGGGGGGGCTAGACCGACCTGCTACGGGTTGTCTAGATTTCTAGAATACAGAAATACAGTAAACTTTGTAGCGCGAGAGACCAAAGGTCTTGTGTTTGTAAAGGCAACCACAAGTATATGGATCATATTGACTGACCAGAACTGTGACAAAAGAGAGAATTGTCTTTGGAGAAAGTTGGATTATTTGTGTGCACTCAGTGGGTGTTAATCTGTACATTAGTGATGAGCTGCATCAGGAGATGAACACACAGTCTCTGCTGCTTTGTTGTAGATGAGCTGATGTGATGGCACAGGAGGTGTTATTTTTTATTTTATGCATTACTTTTTTGGTTAAAGGCAGATTTTCCTGTTTCTGAGCCAATTAGGATATGAGTGTTTCTCTGACCTTTGGTGTGATCTGTGTCTTCTGTTAGCTGGAATAGAGTGACATTCAGTTTCATTCCACAAATGCATCTAAAAGGTCATTGTGTCCACAGTTAATTGTAATGTAAGTCTATTTATTTTTTTTTAGTCTAATATTCTGTCTTTTAAATTTTTTTTTACCTTGTTGCAGGACAGAGCCTAGGATATGGATTTGTGAACTACGTGGACCCAAAAGATGCAGAAAAAGCAATCAATACTTTAAACGGCTTGAGACTTCAGACCAAAACCATCAAGGTAAGATCTTGTTACTGCTGGTATACAGGTTGGGAAAATCCAGAGTGTTGCGGCGAGCCTTTAGGTCGAGGCGTAATGATGCCATGAGGGGTAGAGAGGGAGCCTATTGTTAATCTGGGCACAGGCAACTTTTCTCGGGCCTCAAGTGGAGCAGAACTGTTTCTATGGTTGCATGTGCCGCTGTAGTGGTGCAGTACGCCTTTACAGGGAGGTGGCTGCTATTAGCATTCATCAGGCAATGCAGCTCTCGGTGTGCTGCTGGAAAAACTCATTTGCTTCATGTCGTGCGGCAGGATTGTGGATGGTAGACTCAGAGTTTTTACTGTGATTTTTCACTGCTTTTATGAGATTGATAGAGAAATCTTCTGTCACAGATTTTGTGAATTGCAGCAGAACTGTTGCTGCTTTGTTTGATTTCTTCCATTTTTTGGTTAATATTTAAATATTGTGCAGATGTGGCAAGCTGTGGAGCCACACTGCTTCATTTCCATGAGTCAAACGGGGGCATCCTTCCCCCCTAAGTTCATGCCCCTGAAACTAGGACATGGTAACATTTCTTTGTGTCGCACATCTGAAGTTGTCTCTGAAGTGCAAATAAACCCTAGTGAGAAAGAGCTGTGCACTTTGCACGTATTAGCATCAAATAAAGTGTGAAGGTGAGACCGTGAGAGGCAGAGGTGATGGGACGCTCGTCTCTGAGCTCCCGTTCATACAAACATCATCAGTGTTCGCTTCAAGGTGTGTTCCACACAGATTTATTCATAAAGTGGAGTTTTTGATCTCTTTGCATTAAATAACTTCTGAGTCACACCAAGTTGCAGTCGTTAGATGGTTTACCTGCCCTTTGATTTATTAACCATCCAGAAAATAATCCTCAGACTGAGTTTCTTAAGCTTCAAAATTTAGGCGGGATCGATTCCCTGCTCCTTATCGGATAAATGTCTGCATGACTGAAAATGGAACGGAGAAAATGAATCTGACTGCTCAGGAGTGTAATGAAGCATCGATCCACAGTACCTTTTTGCTTTTTCTATTGGTCTGTTTATGGAGAAATGCGTTTATGCTGCATTTTTATCTCGCCAGGTGCCGAGGGAGCGCCAAATGAGTCCTGACTTTAAAGACAGGAATAGACGGGATTAGTTTAGAAGAGGCAGCTGCACTGCTGTTGCCTATAATTATTAGAGCTGTCTAGACAGGTCTGATGGCACAACTATTTCTGTCAGGAGTCGCAGTTGATGGACGAAATAATGAGCCACGCAGCAGTTAACTGATTTAAATATAATGGTTAGTTTGAGTCACAAAGTTGCAAGAAAGTATAAAAGGTCTTGATCAGAATCTCACTTAAAAGTTATTTTTTCCAATTAGGTAGAGTGATTGGACAAACTTGTCAACTATCGTTGATAGCCCAATCCCGCCATAATTCTTTTATTTATTTTTGAGCAATTTTTAAAATTTGTCTCGCAGGTGGAACGTCGCAACACTCTTTTCTATGTACGTAAAATAATTCATACTTTATTGATCCCCTTGGATTTGACCCATCCCTGAAGAACAGTGGGCTGCCGTCAGTTGAGTATTTGTCCAAGGATGCTTTGGCATTTGGCCTGTGGGGTCTGGGGATTGAAACACTCAGCGTCCAATCAGTGGTCAACCGATCTTTCCATTCAGCCATGGCCGCCCCAAACACGGAACACTTTATATCATTAGAAAGCTAGGATTCTCCCATTGCAAGGATACAACCATAACTGTAAACACAACCAAAGCTTTTATCAAACCACTCAGAAATGATAAAGATGTAGCTCACCATTCAGAGCGTCATCCTTGACATAAAAGGGCGAACTCTAACAAAATCAGTCTTTTTACGTCCACAAGGGTCCAATAAAACAGCTGGTCCACATTAAGGGTGTGAATATCACAATTCGATTCCGATTGTTGGGGTGACGATTCGATTCAGAATAGATTTTCGATCAATACTCCTAGTAAGTGTGTGTGTGTGTGTGTGTGTGTGTGTGTGTGTGTGTGTGTGTGTGTGTGTGTGTGTGTGTGTGTGTGTGTGTGTGTGTGTGTGTGTGTGTGTGTGTGTGTGTGTGTGTGTGTGTGTGTGTGTGTGTGTGTGTGTGTGTGTGTGTGTGTGTGTGTGTGTGTGTGTGTGTGTGTGTGTGTGTGTGTGTGTGTGTGTGGTCTGAAGAAGCAGCAAAAAGAAGAATACAATGTGAAACATTTTAAACTAATACAGATTTAATAACTTAGAGTAGCATGTATTGCCATAAACCAGCATCATTTATGATTGAACAGGAAGATTTAACAGGCACTAGTTAGTCTTAACAAGAGTCAGTTATGCACGTTGCAGTCGGCATGTAACTACAAACTAAATAAAGGTAAGTCTTCGTTGTATTTCAGTAGATTGCAGCGCAGGAGCGCAAAGAGCGAGAAGCTACAGCTAGCACCGGCTCCAGCGATGATGTGTTCAAGGACACTTAAAAGGCTTCCAAACAGTCGAGTCAAAATCTTTATGAATCGGTTCAGAATTTTTAAAAATAAGAATCGCATTTTGGACATGAGTCAATTTATTTCCAGCACCTCTAGTCTACAGGTCTTACGTCTACAAGCCATTAAGCACCTCAGAACAATAAAATTATCTTTCTCATAATCTGTTAGTGTCCTTCTGTTAACTTCAGACTTTGGATCAACATCTTAACCAATCTAACTGAACACCCCATCCCACACCCCACTGGTGCAAACCCGCTGATCGGCAGGTTAGAAGTTTGACCCAACCCTAGCACCTTTTCTCAGGTGTGTAGCTTGAACCAATTGTTAAACATTATCACTGATTGTTGCATCGAAATGCCATTACAATTCAGAAAACTACATCTCATGTGAACCCCTCATAGTCAAACACACTAAGAACGGTTGAAATGCCCACAAGATGTCTAAAATCACTTGCACGATAATGTCAACCATCTTTTTTTTTCTTCCTGACGAATATCGCTTGTAAAAATGTTAGTACATCGCCCAACCTTAGTTTTCTGTTAAAGGGACATTTTGCAACTTTTTCATACTTTTAAATAATTTTCTTGAGGCAGTATGTGCTAAAATGAACCTTAACAGGGTTGATGAAAGGCCACCCAGCCCCTGTAAACCCCTGTGGCCAGGCTGGGACTTAGAAAAATTGAGCTGACCTATCTGTCTGCCTTCAGCATATTTCCTGCATGTTTTAGATCATGAACACAGCTGATTTGTTCAGTTTAGTGATGAATCTCTCCGGTAGACACTTGGGAATGCTGGGAGATGTTTCAGCTGTTAAATTAAGGTGTTAGAAAGACAAGCGCGCAGCGAGGAGATAGTTTTGCTTCTACAAACGGACACTGGGGATGCTATAAGCAAGCAGAACTGCTTAATATCCCTTTAAACTGGTTTGTACCCTAGTCGTCCCATATATCTAACGCTTTTGGGCTCACAAAAACCAAACCGAGAAGATTTTCAGACGTATTCCAGATACCCATGACAACTTGCTTGCCTTGTCAATTTTTTTCATTAGTCCTCTTGATCCACCCTCTTTGTCATTCTTTGAGACGAAGTTCCTTGGGGGAGATTTTGGTTCTAAATTGAGTTGAGAGCTTGTTTATCTTCTAAATCGGATAAAAATCTATAATTCAGAAGCATTTTAAGGATATCCAGGCCTACATCTGGCTGCTCTTATAGTTTAATATCCAAAGAAGGTTGTCATGTTGAGCTAAAATTTACTTTTTGGATTTGTTTACACTGAAGTCAATTAGCACAACGAACCCAGAGTGGTGAATCAACAGGAATCTGACAGATCTGTGCCGGTAAAGTGAAATAAAAACATATTTGTGTTGTGATGTCAGAGTGGTGCAAACAGCCGTGAGTTGTCAGGATTTATTATCAGAAACAGCCTGTGTGTGTGTGTGTGTGTGTGTGTGTGCGTGTGCGTGTGCGTGTGCGTGTGCGCGCGCGCGCTACATTTAGCTCGTTTTAATTTGTGCCAGAACTTGAGCGGCTCTCCTCTACTTGCTTGAGTTTACTGGAGTCCCACAGCTGTGAGTTAAAATAGACTTCTTCTCAGGAATAAAAGATTTAAAATTCAAATCTGCCTCCAGATGCCTTCAGCTGTCCAAACTACACTTTATATTAGCATTGTACACACACACAAATCGTTTGTGTGTTGGTGTCTCAACACCTAAACATTTATTATCCTCCAGCTCAGATCTGGAGAGCATCTTCTCATTTTAACAGACTAATAACATCAATTATTCATAAGACCTCAAAGATTCTGTTTTCTAACATGATCGTAAGAAAATTAAGTGACACAACCAGAACATTTAAATGAGTTTTGTGATTTTTTTTTTTTGTGAAAATGTGTTTGCATCTTAAGTGGGTCACAGCTTTTGCTCTGAGTAAAATCATCAAAGTTGAAGCGTGGCCCTCCCTGAGACGTGTTCTGTGTTGTGGTGCTCATGTGAAGTGTCTCCCATCAGGTCTCCTACGCACGTCCAAGCTCCGCCTCCATCAGAGATGCAAATCTGTACGTCAGCGGCTTGCCAAAAACAATGACGCAGAAAGAACTGGAGCAGCTCTTCTCCCAGTATGGACGCATTATTACCTCACGCATCCTGGTGGACCAGGTGACCGGTGAGTGGAACATGAAGCCTCCCCCCTTTTTGTTCCTTTTTTACCTCCACACCTTCCTCCCCTCCTCTCCCCTGGGACTGCTGAACAGAATGACTCTGCCAGGGCTGAGAAATGCTTCAGAGGTGGCAGTGAAGCTCCCAAAAATGCAATTTTCCACTAGAGGTGTTAATAAATATGCAGCGATGGAATTTGAAAATGAGTTTAAAGTAACAGAACTCTGTGCTTCCAAATTTATTTCTCCCCTAGTTTTTTTCCTCGTATTTCTCATCTCTGAGATGTGCATGTAACGCCTGCTTTACGACATGAAATGCATTTAGAGCAGTTGGGTTTAATGTTTCTGAGCAGTCATGTGGAACCAGAACATTTTGTATTGAAATTGGAACAATCGGACGTTTTTCTAAGTGTGTGCCATGCAGGGTGGGAACATTAACTAGTTTTTCTTCAAACATATAAATTCTAGATTGTCTAAAAATGCACTTTATGATTTCTTCAGAAAATCTCTGAAAGCCAGAATATGAACAATGAACACTCGCGGCTCAGTGACTAAAAAATCCTTCACAAGCTGCATTCATCCGACGCATGTAGAAAAATCAAAGCCCAGAAGACTGTATTCTAAAATGGGGAAAGCATGAATTACCTAAACTGTGGGTGTTTAAAATGACACAAGCATCAAACTGATGGATGATTGTTGTAGAAATGGTCGTGACCTCTCAGGTTTGAGATTGCCATTTTGACCAGTTCAGATTAGATTAATGAAGTTATAAAACCAAAAGCAGGGTATCCGCGGGTCCTTAAAAAGTCCATCCATTTAATCCATTTTCATCCGCTTATCCGGAGTCTGGTTGTTGTGGCAGTAGCCTAAGGTGAGAGGCCCAGACATCCTCTCCCCAGCCACTTTGGCCAGCTCCTCCCGAGGAATCCCAAGGTGTTCCCTGGCCAGGTGAGAGACATAGTCCCTCCACCGTGTCCTGGGTCTACCTTTAGGTCTCCTCCCGGTTGGACGTGCCCGGAAAACCTCACCAGTGAGGCATCCAGGAGGCATCCTGACCAGATGCCCGAGCCACCTCAACTGGCTTCTCTTGATGTGGAGGAGCAGCGGATCTACTCCAAGCCCCTCCCGAATGACCAAGCTTCTCACCCTATCTCTACGGTAGAGCCCAGCCGCTCTTCGGAGAAAACTCATTTCGGTCGCTTGTATCCGTGATCTCGTTCTTTCGGTCACTACCCAAAGCTCATGACCATAGGTGAGGGTAGGAACGTAGATCGACCGGTAAATCGAGAGCTTCGCCTTCTGACTCAGCTCTCTCTCCACCACGACAGACCGGTACAACGCCCGCATCACTGCAGATGCAGCACCAATCCACCTATCGATCTCACGCTCCAGTTTTCCCTCACTCGTGAACAAGACCCCGAGATACTTAAACTCCTCCACTTGGGGCAGGACCTCATCCCTGACCCCGAGAAGGCATTCTACCCTTTTCCGAATCAAGACCATGGTCTCAGATTTAGAGGAGCGGATTCTCATCCCAGCTGCTTCACACTGCTGCGAACCGCTCCAGTGAAAGGTGAAGATCACATTCTGATGAAGCCAACAGGACCACATCATCTGCAAAAAGCAGATCCTCAGGCCACCAAAACGGATGCCCTCCACACCTTGGCTGCGCCTAGAAATCATGTCCGGAAAGGTTATGAACAGAATCGGTGACTAAGGGCAGCCTTGGCAGAGTCCAACTCTCACTGGGAACGAGCCCGACTTACTGCCGGCAATGCGGACCAAGCTCTGACACCAGTCATACAGGGACCTAACAGCCCGTATCAGAGGGCCTGGTACCCCATACTCTCGGAGTACCCCCCACAGGGCCCCGCAAGGGACACGGTCAAATGCCTTATCCAAATCCACAAAACACATGTAGACTGGTTATGCAAATTCCCACGCATCCTCCAGGATACCCCAAAGGGTATAGAGCTGGTCCAGTTTTCCACGGCCAGGACGAAAGCCACATTGCTCCTCCTGAATCTAAGGTTCAACAATCCGACGGACCCTCCTCTCCAGAACCCCTGAATAGGCCTTACCAGGAAGTCTCAGGAGTGTGATCCCCCTGTAGTTGGAACACACCCTGTGGTCCCCCTTTTTAAATAAAGGGACCACCACCCTGGTCTGCCAGTCCAGTGGGACTGCCCCCGATGTCCACGCGATATGATGTCCAGGCGATATTGCAGAGCAGCGTCCGCCAACACAGCCCCACAACATCCAGACTCTTAAGGAACTCCGGGCGGATCTCATCCACCCCTGGAGCCTTGCCACAGTGGAGCTTTTAACCACCTCAGTGACCTCAGGACCAGAGATTTGAGAGGTCAACCCAAAGTCCCCAGACTCTGCTTCCTCACTGGAAGACTTGCCAGTGGGATTGAGGAGGTCCTCAAAGTATTTTGCCCACCGATCCACAACGTCCTGAGTAGAGGTCAGCAGCACACTGTCCCCACTATAGATAGTGTTGGTAGCGCAAAAGGGTGGGTAGTCTGAATTGTAGTTTGGTGCATAAGCACAGACCACAGTCAGAACCCGTCCCCCCACATGTAGGCGGAGGGAGGCTACCCTCTCATTCACTGGGGTAAACCCCAACATACAGGCACCAAGATCGGGGGCAACTAGTATCCCCACCCCTGCTTGGCGCCTCTCAGTGGGAGCAACTCCAGAGTGGTAAAAAGTCCAACCCTGTCAAGGAATCTGGTTCCAGAGCCATGCGTTGAGGTGAGTCTGACGATGTCTAGTCGGAACCTCTCAATCTCACACACCAACTCAGGCTCCTTCCCCACCAGAGAGGTGACATTCCATGTGCCAAGAGCCAGCTTCTGTAGCTGAGGATCAGACTGCCAAGGTCCCCGCCCTCGACTAACACCCGTAGTCCTGACCTAAGTCTTAAAGTCTTAAATTTGCTTTTCCAAATTTAAGGCCTTAAAAATCCTTAAAAATGACTAATAATCCTCAAATACAGTTTCCATAGGTCTTAAATTACCAACGACCCAATAAACAAGATTCTTTTCTATAAAATTTTCGTGAATTTCTAGTTAGTGTTCAGCATTTTTTGTGTATGATATTGGCATAAGCGGAACTGTACACCTTCAGTTGGTTGGGGCTATTTTTAGATGAGCACATTAGCTGGTTAAGCTAGTGGGAGCTTGCGCCATGGGGAAGTGCAAGATTAATGGTAACTGTATGGCTAATCCCACGTTCGCGACGTGGTTAGCACCAGTTCCAGGCAATAGCCGTAAATTATAGCTTAAATTTAATTTTAAAAAAATTGCTTAAATGTGGTCTTAGTCGCCTTAAAAAAGGTCTTAAAAAGTCTTCAATTTGGCTCACTTAAACCTGCAGATACCCTGCGAAAGACATCAGAAAAATGTGCTTGAGCAGAAGCACCAAAGATCCTATCATTGTAGAGATTACTTGAACTTTGGGGATGACCTAAAGGTAGGGGTGTGTATTGGTGATATATATCACAATACAGTATGTGATACTAAAAGACAGATGATACTAGGGCTGTCGCGGTAACCGCAAAAATGAAATATCGCAATATGAAGAAGCCCACCGCGCTGCATCATGGGCCACCGCGATTACTGAACTTGGTTCAACTCAATGATGCATGTTGAGAAGGATGGCTGCACTGGTATCAAAACGAAACGTTACTTCGCTCCTTTGGGAGCACTTTGGTTTTCAGTACGTCAGCTGCTGCGCAGCCAGAGTCCTTGGCCGAGACAGAGCTGCCACCAGCGGCAAAAAAATAATAATAAACGCTCGGAGCCCTGCTGAAGTCCCGGACAAGCACTGCTTCTGCAACCGTCCCGAAGAGAGTTTGAGCCGAGCTGGAGCTCACTCGCTACCTGCAGGAGGAATGCATCCACCCTAAAGAAACCCCCCTGACATGGTGGAGCAACAACCGGGAGAGATTCCCTTTGCTCGCCAGAGTCGCACGCAAGTACGTGTGTGTTAGTGCAACGAGCGCACCATCCGAGAGGGTTTTCAGTGTTGCTGGAAATGTTGCCACCCCTCTCAGATCCTCTCTCAAACCGTATATGGTTAACATGCTTGGTTTTCCTTGTAGGTAACAAGGACGTGACCGAGCTATAAATCACCGTCATTCGTGTGTGTGAAAGTGAAATGATAGTGCGCCCGCCCCCCGGCGCGTGCGCGCCCGGTACATGTAATTTTTTATGCTTGATTTTAAACAACTAAACAAAATGGGGACTTGTTTCTTATTTGTTAGATGCTGCAGCCAAATTTGCATTTAAAAGTTTAACCTTCTGAATTTTGTTGTTTTTAAGTTCAGTCGGACTCCGACTGTCGGAGAAACAAACGTTACTGCGATCTGTGTTGTTACTGCCCTTTGATCTGCATTCAGTAAAGTGTTATAAAAGAAGGCACGGCAATTTTTAACCTTTTTTAAATGTGTAAACATTATGTTTAGATAGTACTGCAACAAAAAAAAGGGCTGTAATAATATCGCACACCGCAATATTAAGCCACCCTGAATCACCGCAGGGGGAATTCCTCAACCGCGACAGCCCTAGATGATACTTAAAATTTTAAAGACTTAATTTATTTAGGAAACTCAGGCCAGACACATCCAGTGTTCTCACAAGAACTTGTTGTTCCGTTGGAATGAAGGCGGTAAAACTGCTGCCACCTAGCACTCTTGAGTTGGAACAAAACACAAAAGTTTGTTAAATACTTGCATGTAAATTCTAATAAAAACTGATATTCCTTTTGAATATTGATGCAGCATCATAACATGAAATGTTGCAGTATTTCAGAGTTTTGATATTTTCTTACATCCATACTCATATGTTGGATGAGCTGAAACCTTTTAATTACATTCCTGTGTGAAGAAGGTATGTGTTCATGATCCTTCTCGTGCCATTCTACTTGCATATTGAAACACCGATTTTAACAAACGTAAGTCTAAATGTGTGTTTGCTCTAATCGATCCTTAAAGCTGGTCTCTAAGCAAAAGGAAATGGGACATACTAGGATGTAAGGAAAATAGTGTTATGTCGATGAATCATTACACAAAGGAAGCAAGTGTTTTTGAGAATTTACATGCAAACCTTTACTGTATTTCTTTTGTGTGGCGCAATTCAAACTTTGACTGCTAGGTGGCAGCAGCTTCTCCTGCCTTCCTGCTGGAACGAGATCTCACGATAACTCTGGATATCGCAGCAAGGACAGGAGAGGAGAAGTTTGACACGAACAAACAATCTACTGCAAAATTTGCAGAGAATCTATAAAAAACTGTCTGGTCACATCACGTAAAATTACTATTTAAGTACTGACATAAAATGGCCAGAGCTGCAAGCTGCTTTTTCATTTACCAACAACTCGATATTACAGTAAATGATGACTCGTCTTTGCTTGCTATCTAGAATCTTCTGGTGCTCGTCTGTTAACAGTTGCTCTGAGCGATCTCATTTGTTTTGATACATGGACCGCAGTACCCACATTTGACCACAAGATGTCCTTTTAACTTTGTGCTCCTTCAAAAATTGCAAATACTGTCTTGACTTGTAGTATCACATCGTATCATCTCCCCTTTGTTGTGATACGCATGCACCATATTGCCAGGTTCTCGCCTATAAACCCCTCTGCAAAAAACTGCAACTTACCCAGAATGTGCAGATTCTTTTTATATTTGGGTGTTTTTTTATATTGAGCTATTTAAAATAAAAAAAATTGGTTATCTGGTTTATCATCAAATGGTTTACTACTACGACCCACCAATATTGGTACTCTGAGCTGAACTTTTCTCATAGTTCTTCATTTGCATTTAAATTGTCAGAGTAAACCATTTTTTATCATCACTTTGTGTGTGTGTGTGTGTGTGCGTGTGTGTGTGTGTGACTATAAAACATCTATAAGTTCCAATCTTCAGTGTGATAAACTCAATGAACTCTTTAATGCTTTTCTTTGCATTAAAGTTTTTAAAAGCCTTAATTTTCTGCATGTAAAATATTGGGTCTATATAATCCAGCAGTGAAAGATGAATATTTAAACTGTCGTCCTCAGGTGTGTCCAGGGGGGTCGGCTTTATTCGTTTCGATAGGCGGGTCGAGGCTGAAGAGGCCATCAAGGGTTTGAACTGCCAGAAGCCACCTGGCGCCACCGAACCCATCACGGTGAAGTTTGCCAACAACCCGAGCCAGAAGACGAGCCAGGCTCTGCTGTCCCAGCTGTATCAGTCGCCCAATCGAAGGTACCCAGGACCCCTCGCACAGCAGGCACAGCGCTTCAGGTAAAAGGAGCCAAACGAAGCAGGAGAAAGTCATACGAGAGCCCAGAACTCTCTGTACCCATTCTGTTCACCTGAGGATCTAAATATCATTCATCTTATTATCGTCTCCCTAAGTAGATTCATCCGTCTCTGCTGTTCCTCCTGGCTCAGCACAATCCTGTAGTTTCGTCTGATTAACACAAATACGGACGACACGAGTAACACCTTAAATTATTCAATCAGTGGTTGATGAAATCTTTGAGAACATAAATAAAAATGTAAAACAGCTTTGCCTGCTTATCAGCAATCTCTTAGGAACGTTTTATACGAAGCGTCCTCTGTAAGAGGAGCTTTTGCTGTGTGGGATGATCATTAAATAAAAAAAGTCCAGTCAGCAGCTTATGAAGGTCCATCTTAGTGGTACATAAGAGAGGAACGGCGGATTAATCATCCAGTTACTCATCAGTCATCCTGTCAGAAAGCATCAGCCCACAATCTAATAAAACCAGAAGCTTCCTGTACTCAAAAACTGTATTTTTCCTTTGTGCCTTCAGGTTGGACAACCTGCTGAACATGGCTTATGGAGTCAAAAGGTAAACGCAAATTCTTTTAATCATCTTCTTTATTTGATCCTGGAGGAGTCCTGACCTAATAAGAGCTCTGGCTATTGTTGCACAGGGAGCAGCGCTGCACAGGTGTGCCCTGGTTCAACAAGAATAAAAACCCCTAATGCATCCTGGGGTCCAGTTAGGAGATTCTTAATGTTTCTGCTAAAATAACTTTATAACTGACAGCAGTGACGTGGCTGATTAGTGGAGAATCTGTCTCCTTAAAAAGTAGAGAAACTAGGGCGGGGGGTAAATGATTATATTTAAAACGGTTATTCTGACTATTATTTTATCGAATAGTCGACTATTCTAATGACTATTTAGACAATTAATCAAATGATTATTTTTCTATTGCACAGTTAATAAAAACCAAAAAATCTCAAATAAATTCCTAAATGATTAATTGTTACTGTAAGAGAATAAACACTACAGGCCTTCCATTTTGTATAACACTGCTTTTATTGTGTTGGTTGGTTATGTTCTGGTGACTTGTAGAACTTGGGAGTGCAGGCTGCTGCCTGAGAGGTGGTTGGAGACGGAGTGTCTCCATGCTGCTTGTTTTGGTCACTTATGTGTGTGAGGCGAGTGGTGTTACGACTCTTCCTGGGGAGTTTGGCTCCTGTGCAAAAAGGAAGGGACAATAACGGGATTTAAAAGTTAAAATAATGATCAGTTTTATTTACAACAACAACAAAACATAAATCTTTCCATCCACAGGTTGGGAATAATAAAACTAATTCTGCCTGTGGGGAATTAAAACAAAAGTACAAATAACCTGGGATGTCCCACTGGGCAAAGATTACTGGGTTCTGGACCAAAATGAGGATCTCCAAAGGTCCAAACTCTAAACTGGGTGGTTAAACCAAACTCAAGGTGATATTTTAAACTAAACCAAAAACCCACAACACTCTAAATGTAATAAAAGGGAGATCTGCACCACAAAAACGATGAACTCTAAACCAAAACGTAACAACTTATCCAAACGCAAGAAGCTGTTAGCGAAGATGCTAACAGTGGCTTTACCAACGTTAAGTTCAAGTTACCTAAATAAACCAAAAACACCCAGCAAACAGGTCAGCACGTAGGAGAGACCGCTACCACCAAAACAGCTCTCCTAATGTCTGAAAGAAGCTCCTTTATGAAGGGAGAAATGCTCCCGGTGATTTTCATCATCTGCGGTAGAGACGGAGCAGCACATCTGACCCCGGAAGTTGTTGTCCGTTGCCGGGAGACGAAGGTGGGCAAAACAGGAAAGGAATCTAGTAGCAGACGGACATTGTTCCGGGTCTACGGTATTTGGCAGAGATGTTAGTGAAGGCGGAGAAGAGGGTGAACGAGAGGGAAAACAGGCAGATTCCTCCTCTATTTACAAACTCCTGGGGATGCAACAAGTGGGCGTGGTGCGTCGACTACCGGATCTGACGTCGACAAATTTTTAGAATTGAGCCGTCGACGCTTCGCTACAACCCTAAGAGAAACAAACCTGGTCCTCTCCTTCATCCTGGGTTTGCAAAGAAACATCTGATGACTTCCAGCAGTCATGCAGACTCTTTATCATTTACATTGCTAAGCTGAGTCCCATTCTGTCCTGCTCTGAACTTGAGACAGTTATCCACACCTTCACCTCCTCACGCTTAGACTACTGTAACTCTCTTTTCACATGTCTGAACAAAACCTCCCTGAACCATCTACAGATGGTTCAGAATGCCTGTGCTCTTCTTCTGACCAAGTCCTCCAAACCAGGGATTAAAGTTTTCCGTTGTGGCGACAGATATCCGTCAGTTGGAATATCACAAAAAAGTTCCGTGAAAATCTCTTATCGCGCTCGCTTGGGTTTAGTAGTGTCTCTCTCTCGCTCGCTCGCGCTCTCCTGTTGCTAATTGAAACACGCACCGGTGTTGTTGAAACGCGTTTCTCCTCCGTTAGCACCGCCCAAGCTGCAAAAACGCACGCGCTCATTGCTCACTCCCACGGTGCGCACAAACACGAACTACGCGCGTGCCAGGCGCTGGGATTCTAACAGAGCCAATTAAGCTCTGATATCACAATGAGAGTTAACGTGATGATCGGAACCAGGACCCAGATTCCCGGTGGGACGATCTGAGGTTGGTGTTTTTAGTCGTCTAGTTGTTTTTTTAGGGCTGGTGTTCAGTCATGACGCTTTGCTGATCACCTGCTGATGAGAGGATTTCTCCTGTCAGTGGAACAGGTGAGCTGCTGAACAAGCGTTAATTCCTAGAAACACTTTCTATGCCCAGACTGTGGTGACCTGTTAATTATAATTTTATAATTAATATTAAGTGAATGCACTAAACCCACAAATGATAGAAGATAAGATTAAATATTATTAATCATATTACTATCAAATGTAAATAAGTATAACAGATGATTAATAATGAAAAAATGTATATTAATATATTTTATTTTAACCCTTTGATGCATAATGGGCACTACAGTGGAGAGGTACTCAAAATAGTTATTTATTTATTTTTGCTATTAAGCACAGCTGTTGAAAACTTTATTGCATGTGAGCCTCTCCAGTTGGACTTCAGTAAGGCAAGCCACCATATTTCATGTTCAGAATGCACGCTGTCCACTGAGATGAACATGTAATAAATTATTTGTAAATTAACAAAATGTTACAAAGAATATTTGTTGAAATTTGTTTAATTCACACCTAAAGATGAATGAAAAAAATTGTTTCAAAAATCATGGTTGAAGATCTCATAATTCATGCATCAGAGGGTTAATATTGATCATATTTCATTTCTAAGGTTTGGATGTCTGTGAACATTACAGAATATTCAGACTGGTGTTAAGAACATGATATTATTAATAACAGGTCATGATCTAAAGCTGGTCTGAGGTATAAAACTCTGCCCTGGGCCTAAAGCCCTGCAGATATATTTAGTTTCTATAAACACCAACAACAAATAAATAACATCAGTTGGATTCTATGTGAACAGGTTATTCCAATTTTTTCTGAAACAAGAATACTGACCTTAAAACCAATCAAAACCCGAATGGTAGCTGCATGTAAACAATGTGATCGCATTTTAATCACAATTGTCCATTTTTTGCTAATTTTAAAAATATTTTTGATAATTTTCTAATTTTTTTAAAATATTTTTACATTTTTTGTTTTTGTGAAGCGCCTCGTGATTTTTATCTTGAGAGGTGCTATAGAAAAGATATTTTCTTCATTTATTCACACACCCTACCACCTGAGTTTGTTTAGGGGTGTGAATCCTACAACTCACGATTCTATTTGATTCTGATTCTCAGGGTGAAGATTCGATTCACAATCAATACTCTTGGTAACAGAGCGTCAATTCCAGGATTAGCTGCTAGTCTCCTGTTAGAAGTCTGCCAGATGTCTAATGTAGTGAGCTGTGAATTTGATGGAGCAGGTTGCTCTGGAAGTCCACCATTCATTGCTAGAATGGTGCATTACGAAAGCCGTAAGCTAAGAAATGTTTGGAAAATGCCTCCTCAAGTAACGAAACTTAAGAGTTTTAAATCGGTTCAGATTCTATATAAATAATCCTGATTTGGACTTGGGCCTCTATTTTTCTTTTTGCTGGCACCTCTGCTTTGTTGATAGCGGCGATAAAAGCCAGTACGGGGGTGGGGTGTACCGTCCAGAGCCGAGCCCAACTCCACAGCTGCCAGAGCTGCATGTTCAGGTCATTTTCCCTGTTATGTTAACACACACAGCGCTGCTAGAGCCGATAATAATGGCACTGTAGGTGAGCCCGAGACAGAGAGAGGGAACGTAGTTTAGTAAGAGAGAGAGAGACTCCTCCCACATCGGAGCAGGCTCAGGCTGATTTCTAAAGTTCCGTTTATGCTTCATCAGAGCGAGTGCGGCGTCGCGCACATAAGTTGACTTTAAGGCTCAGCTTCTCTTTTAAAAATGTTTTGAATGTTTCTGATGGCACACGTTAGTTCAGACAAGTTTAACATCCAACAATGGTCAGTTTTAGGTACAGTTTGACCTTTCAACATCTGGTCAAACAGGAGACACAAGGCTGCATGTGTTCCCTTTAAATGAGCCCAGACCCTGATGCTGCAACTCTGACAACAGACAGCGACATGTCAACAATAACTTTCTCCCCCAAGGCCTCCACGTAACAAACATTCCAGCTCGGCTCAGTTGCTAAATTCAAGAACGATTTCCTAAATCAATATGAACTTCTTCCATGACTTAGAATATAGATAATCATTAAATAAACATTTGTTTATTGCTACTTATAATAATTATATTATAATGAAATGCTTCATTAATCTGTGCTCAGTGATTGAAGTTTGAAATGAGTGTTATGTCTACAATGACTGCATTGTGGTTCCGCAGGTTTAAATGGCAAAGTTCACAACATTTGCACTCGCACCATAACGAGTTAGGTTACATTAAACTCTGACACATAAATAGTCTTTTACCCAGGTTATAGGTGTAGGAGACTATTTTAGTGTTCAGCCTGACCGACCGATTAAAATCAAATAATTTATTGTGTTTTCAGTGAAGGACTTCTTCATTGACAACCGTCGAACATGAAACATCAAACTTTCTCACTCACAATGTGACTGACCAGAGATTTAGTTTTTGAGACGTTTGTTTGACACATCTGTTCCATATATTCATACATTAGACTTTATTGATCCCACAGTGGGGAAACTCACTTGTTACAGCAGCACCAACACTTAGAGGAATAATTTGAAGTCAAATAATGACAAATGTACCTGTATGTGCACATAGACAGTAAGTTATTGTTGTAACCTTCAACCTCTAACAACCACAAATAAAAATGAGACTTGGTTTCCAGAACTATGCAGCAATGCTGTAAGGGACACATACATAATATGTAAATCCGGTGTTGCATAATCTATCTAAAATTTTAAGTCAGTTATCTGTTCAAAAGGGGTGGGATATTAAACATCAACATTCATAGAGGTATGTGCCCAACTTTATGTAAAGCTTGTTGAGTGATATTGTTGCACTAGATGAATTTCCTTGGGGTCAGCTGGCTGCACGTGAGACAGATGAAGGAAAGGCTTATCAGACGTCAGACCTGCTGTGGTTGTGCAGTTTGTAGATGACGACAGAAACTAAAATATGAGCTAAAGATGTTTAGATTTCTATTAGGATTGGGTGTTTCAGCGTAGCGGCTCAGGCTGGACACTGAGGAGGTTTGTGATGTCATGGAGAAGGATGGATAAATGTCCTACTGTAGTAGATTTGTGTTTTTTGTGGCACCTTTATCATTCCGTAGGTCAGAAGTCATTTAAGTTTTTTTGTGACTACAAACTGCCAAACTCACATACAAAGAAACCATTTGGCGCCCCCAGTCCAGCAGCCACTGAACCAGTCTCTCATTAGTGCTTTGATTGAATTTATGATTCTTAAGAGTAGTAATGAAAGTTTATTTCTGCTTATTGTTCTGAAGTTATGAGCCGTGTGACAGCTTTAGTAAACCCAATCATTGACGGGGTTTTACATTCCATCGTTTCACCAAACTCCACGGATGTTAAAGTGCCTTTAGTGTGCTAAAGTGTTTAGTAGAAGAAGCAGTTATTAATGTGGCTCAAAGGTTGTTTTTTTTATCTGTATGCATTTTCTGATCAATAAAATCTGACTTGATCAATACTAAAAAAAACTGTAGTAGATTAAGGGTGGAGTTCTTCTGTTACTGTACAGGCTGAACAATACTCGCTTTTATTTGATTTGTACAGTCAAATGTATTTGTATAATGTTTACCAAGCAGGACTGAACAGTGAGGCAGGCATGTTTGAACACGAGACTGAACTTTAACGATTCCTGCTATTGCACAAAATTGCATACCTACATTTGGAGCACCGTTTTCCTTACCTTGATCTATTATGGACAGCCCCGTCCTGTTTTAAACCTGGTTGCGTCAGACCTCTTTCATGGATTTTCCATGGAGCCAGTTTTGTCTTCCTGGAGCGTGATTGAAGTCCAGCTCCCCGAGAGCTCAAAGGGCCATCACCGCCAACAATAGACTTGTGATTTCTTTTCTGCCTTGCTTGTTGGGCGTACGTCTTGGTTGCCAGATCCCTCAGCGGGTCCTTGATGCTGGGAGCACACCTGTCACAGTGGATGTTCCCTGAGAGGCCAACTGGAGCAGCTAATCGTATGTGACACCTGCTGCAATAATTCATAGGCTTTCCAGGCGCTCTGAATTTGGTTTCTCAAAACTGCAAAACCACATTCACTACTGGCCAGGGTTTTCCTGCGCCCCTTTATTCGGATCTTGGCAAAACGGCTCTATCAGTATGGTGGCATTTATTTCCAATTATGGCTTGCCACCTTTAATTCCAGGGGAAAGGATCCTGGGCTGGCTCAAAAAGCAGAGAGAAGCTGCATTTGCAGGCTTTTTGCTGCACATTAGGAGCAGTTTTGTTGCCTTGCTAAAGAAAAGGAATTTCTGCATTGTCTAGTGGTTTATGAAGTAATTGCTGAAATCAGTGGTGCCAACGCCATAATGTTTTATTAAAGCTGTTAGCTTGATCTCCTCACAGAGAGACCTTTTAGTGCTCATTTTGGCCTCTGTTTGTGTTTACAGCAGGTTCTCCCCAATGGCCATCGATGGCGTGACCAGTTTGGCCGGCATCAACATCCCGGGACATGCTGGCACCGGCTGGTGCATCTTCGTCTACAACCTAGCTCCGGACGCAGACGAGAGCATCCTCTGGCAGATGTTCGGCCCATTCGGAGCCGTCACTAACGTCAAGGTCATTCGCGACTTCAACACAAACAAGTGCAAAGGATTCGGGTTCGTCACCATGACTAATTACGACGAGGCCGCTGTGGCCATCGCCAGTCTGAACGGATACCGCCTCGGGGACAGAGTTCTCCAAGTCTCATTCAAAACCAACAAAACACACAAAGCCTAAAACCCACTGAGATTGTAGAAAACTCACCAGGAAAGGAAAAGTGGAAGCATAACGTTCTACATTAGTAAACAGCTTTGTAATCGGTATTAGTGTCGAACAATGTGATTTCCTTTAGTTTCTCTTCATTGCTACGCTTTGGATCTTTTCATTCTAGTTTAAAGATAAAAAAAAAAGAAATCGTGCAGGTTCTGGTGCCTGCGTCGTCTCCACTGATGGACCACCTATACAGTTACTCTAGGTTTGGGTTTATTTGTTGCACATTACTTTGAAGCAGTAAGTCTTGTACGGTTATGTGTTGTGATTTCCTTTGTATCTGTGTTCTGATTTAGCCATTTGTGTGTTTTAAGCTTTGAGTGGTTTGCAGGTACTTATTTTGAGCTGCTTGTTTTTTTTTTATTCCGTTGTAATGAGTTGGTAATTGGTTGGCTGCATAACGTTGCTCATTGTAAAATTTAACTGATAAAAAAGAAAAGACAAAAAAAATTCTTAAAGCAGTACCTTGCCAAAGAGCTAAGAACCTCTTTGATGTGGGTTTAAAAAAAGCATCTATTTTTATAAAAACAAAAATTTGGAGAAACTTTTTACTGGACCTGGAGCAAAATATTTTGACTTGGATACTTTGAGAAATATCTTCATATGACACCTTGTGAGCTTTTGAACTTTAAAAATGAAAGTTTGCATCGGTTGACATTTGTGGAGAGATTTATGATGTAAAAGATACCTTTTGAGATCTTTGTATTATCTTTAGATTACAGAATCGGTGCCAGTGCTGGTTTCATTTGTAAATCATCTGTGGGTCCTCCATCTCGGTCGTCCGCTCGACTAGTCACTCGCTTTCTGATTCGATTTGCGAATGGACAACAATAAAAATTTATTTGCAAAAAAAAAGTGCATGCTAAATTAAAGCTAGGAGAGATCTTAAACGTGTTCTACAGAGGATGAAAATCAGTTCTTCCTGTAAGGTTCCCTTCAGATGAAGCTCATGGTGTTCTGTGGTGTACCATCAGTATAATTAGGCTGGTTTTGTCTCCACCATTAGGGGTTTTTACATACTTTGTATGAGGGATTGACGACGTGCTGATAACAGCAGACGCATTTAAACAAAAAAAAAGTCTAAAGAGTTGAACAGGTGACTTCTGAGCTTTGAGCTGTGTAAATAGGCTTTTCTTCTTTTTTACGTTGTGTTAAATCGACTTCTTTTGGTTCTAGTTTAGACCTCATTGGAACGTGTTGATTATACGATTTTCATTTTACAGAGTAAGGTATTTTCTTTTTGGAGAATCTCTGAGTTTTAGTTTCCATCGGTTATGATACTTTATTTGTTGTCCTATGGACTAGCATTACAGTGCATTATATTTGTTGGTTGTTTGGTCTGTAGATAGTCTTGCTTCGTTTAAAAAAAATGGTATTAAACTATAGACATTTTTTTTATAATATATATATAAACATTATAGATATATATATATTTATGTGGTAAAGAATGGATATAAACCACAGTTTGGAACTACTTTACGTTTTTCTTTTTTTTCATACTCGTATATATATATAAATATATACGTAATGCATATAACCTGTCATTAAAATCGTAAAAAGGTGTATATTGCTTTATTCTCTTCGGGGAAGGATTGTGAAGCAGTTGCATTCAACAACATAATTGGTTGTAAAAGTTTGTGGAACCGCATGACGATCGTCTCGGCCAATCGAACGGAGGCAGGCACGTCGGATGCCCCCCGGCGAACCACAAAACCTGAACCCACATCCCGCTTTTCAACCAGTTAGTAGTCACGCTTCCCCTGAAACGAGCAGTGTGCTATGCATTCTAGAATTCTTTGCAGCTGCTTTTTATTTATCTATTCCTTCTTTGTGTTACTTGTAAGAGTTAAAACTTTAAGTCGACATGAGTTGTGACACTTGCTGCTGTGGAGTAGGGGGTGGGGGGTGCATTTTTCACATCAGACACATCAGAAAAAGTTTTTTCTTACTTTGTAAACTGCTTAAAAATTATTTGGCGACCTGTGCTGATGGTCCGGCGTGGAAAAACGCGCTCTCTTCAAACCCCTCATTCTCAATCCTTATTGGGATTAATTATTTATTTGAAGTTGTATAGTCCAACTTGGTTCACAGCATTTTTTTGAGAATAGAATTTTTTGTTGACTATTTAAGAGGATGTACATGTTCTTTACTTTGTGTTTGGATACTTTGGATTTTTTCAATGTTCAGTACATCAATAAATAAGTTTGAAGGGCAATCAAGCTCTTGAGGTCTTTTCTATGTGCTGCATGAAACGATGGTTGTATGATATCACACTTGGCTCAGTTCTTTAATCTAAATGCACCCTCTTCTCTAAAACTAATGCTCTCTTGTGCTGGCTTTAAATGAAACCAGGTTTATGGATACAAAGTGCTTAACAGTTTACCTAATTGGTTACCTCAAATGGTTTTGGGGGATTCCCAGGAAAGTTGCTGGCAAAATATCCCAGTTGTAGAAGTAAAATGTCTCGTGCCTTTATTACGTTGATATAAGACCAAATGTGGCTGACCTATGCTGCTGGTGCCATATCAGGGGTTCCTTAGAGCAAGGGTTCCCAACCTGGGGCTCGTTACCCCTGGAGGAGGAGGCGGTCCTCTCATTGCCCCGCTGGCTATGAGAGGACCTCAACAGGTTGGCTGTGGCTTAGGGTCCATGGTCCTCCAATGGCTGCCCCACAAGACATCCTCAGTATTTTATCTGTGCAGAGGTTACTAAGATTATATTTAAAAATGTAATTTAATCCCAATAACACACCAATAGTAGTAAGAATTATAACTGTTGTCTGTGTAAAGTTTTGATTACTTTAAATTTGCTTATATGGGCAGGAAGTGGTGTTAAGGGAACCCTGGTTTGTCTAGGATTCTGGCAAGGAGGTTATAAAAGAACAAGGGTTGAGAGCCACTGGCTTAACAATGGCTACCATAAAACTCTACGGTTGCCATTTCAATCCCATGCCACATTTCATCTCTTGGGGATTTTTCTAACCAAACAAAGGTTAAAGTTGAGACACTTGATCATTACATGCCATGTGTGTTCATGGAAAACCCAGTCGGGGTCCTGTCTAACCTCTTTAGCTTTGTCCTGTTGGGATCCCTGAATCCATACGATAGGGGACCTGACATCTATGGCTTCACACAGCATGTGTCCAGGAGTAATGCTGGTGTGACTACAACTTTGACAGGAGTGGTCAACTTGTCACCACCAGAAATGAAACTGTCATAACAAAGAACTCAAGTGTGTCAAGAAACATGAGACACTGCTGATTATGGCACCATTCCATTGATTGGAGGTTAGAGGTTGCTCACTAAGGATAGGCTGAGGGTGGATGACCTTGACCATTCATCGTCCCTGTCTTGGTGTGGTCTGTCTTGCATGACTGGAACCTTCATGGTAAGTACAGGGCGTCTGACATACCCTGGTTCCAACATTGGGCCACTTTTATATCTGAAATCTAATCGTGTCACTCTTTATAGAGCCCTTTAAAGCATTGATGATGCTTCTACAAAGGATCTGCTGTGCCTGCTGGCCTTCATCTACAGTTTTGACTTGTTCCCATTCTAGACGCTAAAACTCCTTAAAAATTAGACTGAATAACACCTTGTGCTCTAAAGAATCCATATTTCTAAGTAACCCGATAAGATAATTGAATCTCAATTCAGCTGCGGACTTTAAACATGCTGACACCAAGAGCTACTTGAAGGAACACACCTTCTATAGAGTATCGATTCTCTTTGCTCTAATTCATGCTCACTTGAGGCTGGCTGTTAGAAAAGATGAAAGGTCTGCTTTGAAGTGAGCTTCCTCACGGTACAACCCTCCTCACCTGTCGGTCATTTAGGGGGAACTAAGCTTAGTTTCACTAAAACAATGGCTCCGTTTGGCTGCAGGAGATAAGGTTACTTTGCTTTAAAAACTCAGAGCCTATTCAGTGCCTGCTGTTCCATTAGCTGGCATCCTGAAAGCAGATTTTAGTCTTAAGAGTTTTCTGCATTTAAAGCTTTTAAAAGTTGAGCTTGAATGACACTTGTTTAGTTTATGGAGACTTACAGGAAGCAGATGATGCGAGCAGCTGAGGGACAGCACATTTGGCTCTTATCAGCCTTCAAAGCTCCTCTTCCTTTTTTATTGGCACACATGATGGGAATTTAAGCATCTCAGAGCTATATGTTGATTGCTCCCTGCTGGTGAAAATGGGATTAGGTTGAGTAGTCGATGACCATCACGGATTAGCAGCTGTAAACTGATGTCACATCCTTTTAGGTTATTTGACAGGAAGCATTTAGCACGTTTCCTGCAGTTGAGTTAAATTCATCAAGTGTTTTGACAAATGTTTAAAAAGACTTCCTCAATTACGAAGGGGTTTGTAATTAGGGAGAATTAAAAGTTCACCATTTAACGGGATTCATTTGAAAACCTGAATTTTACAAGATTGTCAACCTTTTAATTCACAATAAAGTCTGAGCTGACATATTTTATTTGTGTTTTAACTGTGATCCCAGTTAATACATCCCAAAATTCTCATTTTGTAGGAACTACTTCAGTATGGAAGCTTCTTGATGTCACCCAGGTAAAAATGGGTAAAACGTTTGACCACATTATTTAAATTTAATGCATTTTCATGTCATAGAAAGTTTTTCCACGAGACCATTATAACTAATTTAGGTATTAAAATGTTTAAGGAAAATTGGGCAGTTTGGGCTTGTTTTTAGCACCCCCTCGTGTCCGTTTGTAGGAACAAAAGCAAACTATCTTCTTGCTGTGTGTTTGTCTATTAAACACCTTAATCTAACAGCTGAAGATGTCTGCCCAGCCTTTATTAGTGTCTACAGGAGTGGTTCATCACTAAATTAAAAACAGCTGTGTTCATGATCTAAAACATGCTGGAACCAGACTGCAGCACCAGGTATGTCAGCCAAACTTTTTTTTTAAGTCCCAACAAGGTGTCACCCAGGTAAATCATCGTGATAATGGCACACTGCCAGTCTGAAGTTGCAAGTGGAATAATCCGGTCACAGGGGGTGATGGGGGGGCTGGGTGACCTTTCATTACCCTGTAAAGGGTTATTTTAGCAAATACTCGCTCAAGAAAATTAGTATCATTTTATTAACATTACCTAGTGCATTATTAAGCATTAATGAACTATTAAAATATTGACAACTATATTATGTAATGCATTACTAAGCAGGTAACCCCCTGCATATTTGTCCTAACCTTAAGGACACTTCATAGTTAAAATCGGTAACGTTCAAAAAGGGGCCCTTTGTTTCGTAATGTCTAATAATGCACTAAGTAATATTCATAAAGGGACCCTTATTGTAAAGTGTTACGTATTTGTTTACAAACTGTTTTAAAAAATCTAATGTGGTACTAATACTACAAAAACAAACACTTTGACAGTACTCTAGGGCTGGGCGATATGGACCAAAACCTCAAATCTGTTTTTGCTGAATTCCAATATATATATATATATATATATATATATATATATATATATATATATATATATATATATATATTTCGCCTTTTAACTAATTACAAGATGACTCACTTCAAGCTGCCTTTAGAAATTATATACATAAATCAGATTAAAGCATACAAATATATCGATTCTTGTCTAGCTTTAACCTAAGTGTCTATTCTCTACCAGTCTGAGCTTTAGGAACACTGGTACAGCTGTCAATACACACACACACACACACACACTTGAGAGCTAGAGGTGTATCAAATGTCCCACAGGCACTTTTTATTTATATATTTATAATTAATGTAAAATTATTTAAATTTCATCTAGAGGTGGTCCATATTGTATATTTCTTGTCCAGAGAAAAATAAAGATCTATCATGTGAAACAAAATCTATGATGATGTAATTGCATCTGCTGAAGGTCACATGGGTCATGCACCGTGTAGTTATTAGTTATCAGGGCAAACATGGCTGGAATCTAACAGTATTGGCTCATATCAGCGATTATACTGTAATGAATCAGAGTCTCTGGTTGCTCTTTTATGAGTATTATTTTTTACTGTCGCCGTAACCCACGCCTTACAAACTCTTAACTTTTTCAAAAGAATCGCTCGTAACGGAGTATTTACTAGCATAGCAAACCAGAGCGGAAAAAACTGGAACAGCATTTCTCACTCGTTGAGCTCGCCTTCAAAATAAAACATTAACCCTATGATTTACTAGTCAAACCAAACCATTTACAGTACGCTTGAGATCATTTGGCCACTCCGGCTATCTGTAGATGTTTCCTGATTACACAGGGGAGGGAGGAGTTTGGCTTGTCTCCGCACAGGCTGGATGGGAAAACAGAATTCCGTTGGTGTTGAATGTCCCCAAACAATTAAAAACCAGGATGCCCAGAGGCTCTCAGATTGAGCAAACTTGTGAGAATACACGTAATAACCGCTTAGAGATGGAGCAACTTGTCGCCAGCATAGCGGCTAATTGCTAGCATTGCAGTTTGACCAGTTATATTGATATAAAGTCATCTTGTATCTTGTTTAAAAGTTATATCGATATTTTAAAAATATCGATATATCGCCCAGCCCTACAATATTCTTAAATTGATTTTGTTTTTCCTGGGGTAGTGAAAAATTGGATGTGTAAGAGCATTCACAGTCTAGTCATTTCTATAGGATTAATTTTAAAACCAAATATACTGATCAGTTTAAAATAAGCTTCTATGTGAGTTGATTTGTTTAAGGACAAAGTGCATCATTTCACATTTTTTATTTGAATATTTTTGATTGTTTGTCTTCTCTAAAACAAACAGCAGGAAAAAAATCTTCTGTTGGACCTACTTATCACCTAAGTTTGTTTTTGCTTCCTTTACTGATGCCTTTATTAGGTCAACATTGTCCTTAAAATTTGACTTCTGATGGATTCATCCATTATCTGAACCACTTTATCTTCAGTAGTGTCATGGGGATGGAGGTCTCCACAGAGACAAACTACCATACACACACACACACACACACACACACACACACACACACACACATACACACACACACACACACACACACACCTATAGGAATGATTTAAAGTCTTTGAACAACCTGGCATACATGTTTTTGGTGTGTGGGAGGAAACCATACAACTCAGAGAAAACCCATGCATGAAAGAGGGGAAAATGCCAGCGCCATGCAGAAAAGTAGGATTCAAACCGGCAAACTTCTTGCAACTAACTGCACCACCATGCAACCCTGAGAATGA